AAGTTCCAGCTCTCCACTTCCTAGTGGGTGACTTCGAGGCCTCCACTTTCTCATCTGTTAAAAGTGTTTTATAAACTAAGGAATGAGAAATACAAGATGGCATTACCATTATTCTACTCTCCCAGGGTCTCCATTCCTTTTCCTTTCCAGAGCTCTGGCTCCCTGCTCTCCTGTTCACTCTCCTATGAAACCTGCTGCCCCACTGGCTTTTCCCAGGCCCATAACTTGACCACTACTTTCAGCATTCCTTATCATTAGGCCTCTCCCTTCCTCATGGGTCCCCTTTCTTAGAACAGAGATGCCACCTAGATTTCAAGTTGTGTTCCTTCATTGATTAGTAGAGGAGGCTGAGGATCCATCTGGTTCTACAGGAAACAGCACAATAAGTGATAGATGAGCTCTGCCCTGTGTCAGGAAGAGCCATCCCGTTGCCAAGCCTACGCTGAGGATCAGGCACTGTCACATCTATCCTCCCTGAGCCCAGCCTGCCCCACACTAGGGAGAGTCTGCACGCTCCTCAACGCGGAGGGAGCTGACCCGGAGCTCACACCCACGTGGCGAGAGAGCCAATCTCAAAGTAGACATCTGGTCTCATCTCTGATTTGGATTCATTTTCTACATTCCTCTCCCCTTTCAAGAGCTCCATTTACTCAACCTGGAGATAACGCAAAAGCAAGGCTGAATGGCTGGGCCCCAGCACTGCTGAAGGAAGGACGGGACCTTATTCCTTTTGTAGGTGAGGAGACTTGAAGGGCAGAAACGACAAGTAACAAGTCAAGCCCATTCACGTCCTAGGCAGTGGAGCTGGAACCCCATCCTGGGCTTCTGACTCAAAACTCCAGGTTCTTTCTAATTATATTTGAGACAAATATCCTTTTCTGGAAAGTGTTGATCACTTTCGAGTTCTCACTGAGTTAAATCCTTGAAAGGCACTGGTCCTAAGATGCTTCTTGACTTTCAAAGCTGAATCAGGACCCAGACTCTAGAAACAGGTTGGAATGTCATTAATACCACTGAACTGTACACTTAAAAATGGCTAAAATGGCAAATTTTATGTTATATATATTTTACCACAATTTTAAAAATTAACAGTGTAATATACCAAAACCCATTGAATTGTATACTTTGAACACATGAATTGTATGGTATACCAATTATATTTCAATAAAGCTATTTAAAAAAAAAAGCGGACAGGGACCATGTCCGTGTTGATCACTACTGTATTCCCAGTGGGTGCCAGGCACACAGAAGGCACTTAATAAGTGTGTGGGGTGTGCCCGTGAACAACCTCCCTGTCTGCTCACCCCGCGGGGACTCAGCCTCTCTACTGGTCCCAGCGGAGAGGGTAGCTTGTTCCCTGCGCTGCATACTTAATCCGGACCGACAGATTTAAGCTGCTCGGCGAAGCTGGCTCACAGCTCAGTCTCCTCAGCCCCCAGCTGGAATCCTCAGAGTGGGATTCTCGGTTACATGTCCTACTATTGTAGAAAGTGGCTGGGACCCTGGGAGACCTGGGTCCTCCCCTGGCTTTCAAGATAACCAGCACTGGAACCCTGAGCAAAAACTCATCTAGCCAAGTCATCCTCTCTATAACTGAGCAAAGGAGATGCTGACTGGAATGACAGCTCACCTAGAAAGCTCTCCTCCCACTGCCACAGGCCGCGGCAGCACCAGTCCAGAGCCCACAACCCCAGCGCTACGAGGTATGCTCTCCACTCAGGAGAAGCAGGCTTTGTGAGCCAGAAGGACAAGGAATTACTGATGACAATCACCCTAACAGCAGCAGCTCACTGGTCTTCCTTCTTCCTCTCTAGGCCCCGGTGGTAGCTTGGTAGCCGGTCTCCAAAGATGGCTGCCATCCATTCCTCTGTCCCTATATGTGCTTGTCACTCCCCCTTGAGAAGGAGAGTCTAGTCTTCCACCCCTTAAATCTGGGGCTACCCTGGGATGGCTCTGACCAATAAAATACGGTGGAAGTGATGGTGTATGTTTCCAGCCTAGCTTTTAAGAGGGCTGCAGCATCTGCTTCTGGACTCTGGGAACCCTGAGCTGTCATGTAGGAAGTCCAGCTACTCCACTGTATAGAGAGGCCACGGGAGGAGCACAGGGAGTCAGATGTGTGACCGTGGAAGCCATCTTGGACAGCCCAGTCGAGTCTGCAGCCAACTCCAGCCCTAGACACTATCTGATTGCAAACACAGGACAGGCCCCAAGTGCAAACCACCCCGCTGAGCCCTGTCACCCCACAGAACTGTCAGAGACACTAACGCTTTGTTGCTTTCATCTACTGCTGGAGCGGTTCATTACACAGCACTTACAACTGAAATGCTCCCTGTGGTCAATTTTCAACACAGGAGCCAGAATAATATTCTAAAAACACAAACCAAGTTGTGTCATTCTCCCATTCAAAACCCTCCAATGGGTTATTTTTTTCCCCTTCTCTATAAATGTTTGCACACAAGGACATGGTGTGATGAGGGGGTAGGTGTGGGGTGTGCGTATGCGTGTATATGCAGCTTTACTGAGATATAATTCATATACCACGTAACACACAATTCATGCATTTAATCTATACAGTTTAATAGTTTTTAATTTATCCAGAGTTGTGTAACCATCACAACAATCAATTTTAGAATATTTTCGTCACCCCAAAAAGAAACTCCGTACCCATTAGCAGTCACTCTCCATTTTCCCCTAACTCACTCACCTGTGGTACCTACTCATTTACTTTCTGTCTCTATAGACTTGCCTATTCTGGATGTTTCATATAAATGGAATCACACAACACGAGGCCTTTTGTGGCTGGCTTCTTTCAGTAAGCATGTTTTAATGTTTTTAAGGTTCATCCACGTTGTAGAATGTATTAGTACTTCTTTCCTTTTTACAGCCAAATAATATTCCATTGTATGCATATACTCCATTTTGTTTATCCATTGATCAGTGGGGGCGGGGGGGCATTAGGCTATCTCTGCTTTTTGGCTATTATGAATAATTCTGCTATGAACATTCATGGGCAATTTTTTGTGTAGACGTATGTTTTCATTGCTCTTGGTAGATACCCAGGAGTGGAACTGCTGTGCCATATGGTAACTCTATGTTTAACCTTTTGAGGAACTTCCAGACTGTTTTCCCAAGTGGCTGCACCATTGTACATTCCCACGAGCAGTGTATGAGGGTTCCGATTTCTCCACTCCTCAACAACACTTCTTACCGTCTGTATTTATTATCACAGCCACATCCTAATAGGTGTGAAGGACTGTCTCATTGTGATTTTGATTTGTATTTCTCTGATGGCTAATGTGCTCATTGACTGCGCATTTTTGGAGAAATGTCTATTCAGATCCTGTGCCCTTTTTAAATTTTGGCTATCTGTATTTTCATTATTGAGTCATAAGAGTCCTTTCTATTTTCGAAGTCCTTTACAAGATGCATGATTTGCAAATATTTTATCCCCCTCCAGTGGACCCCTAGCACATGCAGAATGAAACCTAAATTCCTCACTAGGGGTGAGAGACCCACCTGATGTCCGACCTCCTCTCACTCTCCGCACCTCGCTCCCTGCCCCCGGCACACTGCTCTTCAGGCTGTTCCCTGAACTTGTCAAGTTCAACGCAGCCTCAGGGCTTCTGTAAGGGCCTGCTCCCTCTGCCGAGACATTCTTCCCTGAAATCTTTGAGTGGCTCACTCCCTCACTTTAGGACTCTTCTCAGATGTCACCTCAGCAAGGCCTTCCCTGGCCGTTTTTTATCTAAAATACCAGGTTCTCCCTATCACTCTCTACTCCTTATCATGCTTTATTTTTTCTTATTAGCATTTATTATAACCTGACATTATATTATACATACCTTACATATATCACACATGCATACACATTATATATATTTGCCTATACTGTCTCCCTATAAGAATCTCAGTTCCACGATGGGCAGGGATGCTGTCTGTCTCCATGTCACTGTACCTTACATGCCCCAACAGCGCCGAGCACATTGTGGGAAATCAATAAATATTTATTAAATTTTAAATACATCTACCACCACATACTGAACGCTTACGATGAGCCAAACGCTCCACAAAGCACTTCAAATAAAATATCTTCTTCAATCCTCACAGCAACCCCAGGCTATGAGGTAGGCACTATTATTACTCCACTTTTCTAACAGACAAGGAAACCCAAATTAAGAAAGTTTAAGCGACTTATCCCTGGTCTCACAAAGAGTAAGTGGTGGAGCCAATATGACAGCCGGACAGTCTAAGCAGTGTCACCCTTGTCCTCCCGGTTCACTTCAGCAAGTCACCTTCCTTCCTTTGAGCCTCAGTTTCCTTACCTATGTCATGGGCCTAGCCTGCTACCTTTCAGTTACTGAAAGATTGGCTAGGTGAGATCAGGTAAGGCCCTGAGAACAGAGCCTGGCACACTGTAAGCATCTCATAAGTGTGGGCTACGCCGGTGATGACGACGCTGCTGCCGATTACAATGAGGAGACGATGCTGATGCTGTGAGATAATGCTTTGAAATAAAATAAAGCCATATTGATGTCAGTTAATATTGTTCAAATGCATCCTTGGGTACACATTGCTTTCTTTTAGACAAGGATTGGACTCTCTCAGAGCGGGGACCAGACAACTGTGGCCACATGAGGGTTTCAGAGTTAGTCAGATGGGGTGCGAGAGTTTCCTGAATGTTCGTTCACCAAAGAAAGGGCGTGCTTAGATAACATCACCGACTTTCTAAGGCCTTGACAAGAGCATTTGAGAGGATGTCAGTGTCCCATTAGAGATCTTGGTCTAAGCCAGGGCAGCTGTTCTCATGGGGCAAAGTCACCCTTGTAAATTCCTGCCCAGCCAGCCCCCAAGCAAGAGTAGCTGAACACAGCAGAACACATCCCCGCTCACAGCTGTGGATGTCACGTTTGCTAAAAGAGAGTGCTGCTAAGATACTTCATCCCCATACACTGTCACACCATGGAGGACCCGGAGCATGGGAATCAAACTCAACTCACCGGTATGGGTCTGCCTGTGTGTCTCCAGGGCGTCCTCCTTCGAAAACTGGGCACCGCACTGATCACAGACAAAGGCTTTGGCACCGGCTGAAAGAAAGGGGAGGCAGTTACCACCAATGCGAAATGCCATTAGGAGGGGGTTCTGGGCCAAAATCCTGCAGGTGGATAGTGAGGGAGGCATCAGATACCTGTGAAGACCCCAAGGCGGGAATAATCCACAGTCTCAGCAGCCAGCCCAGCCCCTCCTCCAAGTGTGACCACCCACCTACCTGAGCTCCAAATAGCCCATCTAGGGCTCCCCCAGAGAGAAGAGGGAACAAAACCAGAATAACCAAGACAAACAGAGACGGGGTCCAGGTGAGATGTCCCAAGCAGAAGGGGACTCTGGAGGGCTGGCTCCAGGCAAGGGTTGGAAAGGAGTAAATGAGACGATGAAGAGAAATGTGCCCTGTCGCCTAGATTATACTTTACGGAAAGTGGGAATGGTTGACATACTTCTACTCAGATAAACCCCTAACTCAGTGTGTGCAAAACCAAACTCGCTGTCTGCCCTAGCCACTGCCTGCATCTGGCCATTTAAAATCCCTGGGGGCCCCCACTGTGTCTTCAGGATAAAGTCCAAGCTCCTCACCATGATTCCCAAAACCCTTCTAGACATGCTTATCTTCCCTGCTTCATCTCTCCAAATCCTTGCTCCCTAGTCTCCAGCCCAACGCAGATGCTCTGGTTCCCTGGAGGAGCCAGGCTCTTCCCCATCTCCAGGTCTCTGTGTATCCTTTTGTACCTCCTCTGTCTTTGACATGCTTGCCCCTCTTCCCAGCCTCACAGTATAGCAGGCCCTATTCATCATGCATGCATCAGCCTCAATACCCCAGCCCCCGTGTCTGGGTGAGGTAGCCCTTCTTTATGCTCCCATAGCACCCTGTATGTTCCAGGTCATACCTCTCCATGCTCTCTTCTAAACGCCGGTGGACCTGGCTCTACCTCCTGCCACACTATAAGTTCCCCAAGGGAGGGAGCATGTCATCTCATGCACAGCTGCATCTGCCTGACACCCGGTGGGATCCCATTACTCTACACATTTGTGGAATAAACAAAATCAGTTCAGTGCAATTCAATTTGATAAACTTTTTTAGAACCATTACTTACAAGGCTCAGCGCCAATGTCAAGATAAACAGGACTTTTGCCCATTTGCTAACAGTCTTCAAGGCTCTAAAATGTCATCTCATCCAGGGGCACCTGTTGCAAGCCTTGGTGATTTTCCTTCAAAATGTCTTCTAGATGCATCTCTTCCATTATATGTGGATCATCACGGCCCCATCCAGGCCCTTGTTGGGTCATGCCCAGAACACTGGAAGGCTCAAGGACAGCTGCCACATCACCAGCCACCCTCTCTGATCCACCCAGCAGACGCAGGGTCCTTGAAAGCCACTTGATTCCTCATTTCTTTGCTCACGAAAGTGAAATGGCTCACAATTTGCACTGATGCTAAATTCCTCTACTTGGCTTCAAGGTCTTCCACACCCTGACCCAGTCAGTTGTCTGTCTTCACCAGTCCTCACTGGGCACCACTCGATCCTTCCCGAGTCTCTGTGCCTGAGCAATGCCGGGTCCCATTCCTCTATTTTCAAGACTGGAGTGTGCCTGTACCAAGCACCCTGGCCCCTCACCGCTCTACCTTTCCAACCTGCCACGGCACTTGGTTCCTTTCCACCCACCTTAGCACTTCTTGACCTGAGCCTGTGTTTTAGTCTTGTATTAGTTTCCTAAGAAGCAGAACTAAATATCCCAGTGCCATTTTCAAACCATCTCAGACTTCCTGAGGCTTTACCATATACCAGGCGTGATGCTAAGTGTTCGAGATATATCATTTCATTTGATCCTAACAACAACTTTTAAAAGTACACACTATTATTACTTCCATTTAGCAGATGAGAAAACTCGAGCTCAGAGAGGTGAAGTGTCTTGCCCAATGTCACACAGTAGGTAACAGGACAGGTGGATTCAAACCCAGGTAGCTTGACTTCAGAGCCTTTGCTCTTAATTCCTATACCCTTCAGCCTCCCTAGGGTTCCATCTGCAAAGACGCTTCATGGATAAAAAGGTGGGATCTAGGCTTCCTTCCCCCAAATCAAAAAAAAAAAAAAAAAAAAGAAAATCCAATATACTGCTTTTATAATCAAAGTTTTGATTATATCAAAGTTTTGAAAATCCAAAATTCTATTTGGAAAAATGGTTCCACTACTTTTTTAAAAGTTTTAAAATCTTTGCCTTGGAGTATTAGCACATACTTAAGGAACAGAACTAGAATACAAGTTGTGCCAGTATAGACTTAAACATGGATAAACCGTTCTTGACAGTGAAGGGTATCACGATCCTAGAGTCAGGTCCTATGAGGGCACTGACCTGGTCTGGATTCCTAACGCCCAGCAGGATATACCTTCTGCTAGGGGCTCAGTAAATGTTAGTTGACTGAAGAAATGAGTAATAAAGTGTCCCAGGAGAGATATGAAGTCACTTTTCCTTAAGAGCCTTAAAAGTAAATATCATCATTTGTCTTAGGCAGCTGGAGCTGAATTCGCCTGGAGGCAGGGGGAATACCATGATCATCTCCAGGTGTCCCTACAAGCTACAGGGCGTCCTCGGGCCAAGGACCTGTACGGGGCTTACAGAGCTCTGAAGAAAGAGCCCAGAAACATCATGGAAGGTGGTCACTGTGTGTTCCCACAGGTGGCAGCCAGGACCACTTTCCCTCTGTTTATACTGGAGACACAGCTGGTGCCTCAAAGAGGAGAGAAAGGAGGCTGGGAAGGCCAGGGTGGATGCAGCCACAGCCCCTCACGATGAGAAACTGCCCCCAGTCCCAAATCATTCACCAGCAATGATTTTCTGCGCATCCGTAAGGGATCTGATTTTAATTACATTTCTTTGGTTCTGTCAGTTCTCACGGCTCCAGAAAGAAGAAAGGGGAAGGGGAGGCCCAGGAGGGGAGCAGGGACTGGAAAGCAGAGGGTGCCCTGTAGGCTGGTGGTCGCCATTGTGCTGGAGCTACCGGTGAGGAACCCGCTGGTGCTGCAGCTTCAAAGGGATGTGGTATGGAGAGTTCTTAGAAAACAGCCGTCGGTGCGGCTATAATAGCGTCTGCTTTAATGGCTGAGAAGCAGAGAGAAAGGAAGGAGGGCAGGGAGGAAACGCAGGCCGGATGTGTGCCATCAGATGAGTTCAGAGGAAGATAAAAACAGATTAGCACACACCATCTAGTCAAGGCTGCTGGCTGTCCCAAGCCTGACCGCCTCTGGGTGCCCTTCAAGTCCTCCGCTCTGCACCCATGCCCTCCCAAAGTCATGAAACTGAGCCGAGTGTGTGAAAGCCCCCCGTCCTCAGTGACTCTGGGTGAGAACCCTCATCACACACAGATACCACAAATGTTGGCTCCCACTGCCAGTCCCCATTCATGAAGCCCCAGGACTGCTCCACCCCCACATCCCCAGGCAAGATTCCCCCCAACTCCCCAGGGTGAGCCCAACAACAAAGACAGGCAGTTCTAGGACACAGGAGCAGAGCGGAGAGAGGCAGAAACCCCCTCTCCCGAGGAGGCGTGTGCCTTTAAATTGTCTCCGTAATGGCTGGCTCAGAGGCAGAAATATTTGGCAGCCCTGAAATTAAAAGTGATAAATTTCCTCGCCAAGCTTTGATCGATAATAGAGGCCTCATCTGTTAATCAATAAGATAGTCTCTGCCTGTTTACCGTGCATATGCTGTTCGCCGCTGCCTTCAGTATGATGTCAGGTTTGCATTCAAAGCAATTCAAGTGTGTACAAACCACATGGCTATTCTCAAAATGCATTATGGTGACATCATTCAGCCGCTAATACATTTATAAAGCATCAGTGCAAGGGAGTGATGGGGAAGGAGGAAGGTCATGCCAGCTGAACACAATGGGTGCATATGGACATATCGGCATCATTTACCCCCTGAAAAATTTCCTGGGGCTCATCTTGAAGAGGGGAGAATGCCAGGGCACAGCTCAGGGATGGCCACGCCTCCTTAGAGCCTTCCTGCACACAGGGCATGTTTTTGGATGTCCATTAAGTATATGCCAAGAGGTAGATTACAGCAAATGAACAAAAGAGACAAAAAAAAAAAAAAAATCACTGCCCTCAGGGAGCTTCCATTCTAGAGAAGAAGGCACATCTTTAAAAATCAAGTACAGCCACATGTCGCTTAACAATGGGGATACATTCTGAGAAATGCATCATTAGGCAATTTCCTCGTGGTGTGAACACCATGGAGTGCACTTACACAAACCTAGATGGTACAGCCTACTACATACCTAGGGTATACAGTACTGGTGTTATGGGACCATGGCTGTATATGTGGTCCATCGCTGATAGAAATGTCATTACATGGTGCATAACTCTGAAAATAAAACAGGTGGTGGCAATTGATAAAAAGAAATAAATTAAGTGAAGAGGGATAGAGAGTGCTGGTGCTGCTATTTTATATGGGGTGGTCAGGGAAGACCTCCCTGACGAGCTGACATCAGAGGGGAGAATGGAAGAGGTGAAGGAGAGGAAGCCACACCACTGTCTGGGGACACCTGGTCCAGGCAAAGGAAGAGTGGGGAGGCCACCTGGTTGGAATGGAGTCAGTGAGGGGAGAGGGAGAGATGGGGTCAAGTAAGGGGACAGACCACAGGGAGAGAAATTAAATAGCCAAGAGGGAGAAGAGCCAGAAGAAAAAGTAGGCTAGACCCCCCTCTCTCCTCTCTAGCAATTATAGATCGAGTGGACCAAGGGACAGAACAGTGGGATCAGTGAGTGCAGGCCACTCACTGCTGTGGACATCACACCTCAATAAACCTGACTCCCAGTCTGTAAAATGGGGAGACCACGTCTGTCTGCCTCACTTGAGGCTGCTGTGAGGCTCCGAGGAGACCATGGATCTTAAAGAACACAAAACTCCGTTAATCATCAAGAGCTCTGTGGCTAGAGGAGCTCACTGAGGATGTTTCTACCTCGGGAGGCAGGCGAGATTCAGGTCAGACAGATCAGAGCTCAAATCCCAGCCAAGCTAGTCACAAGTT